GCCATGTTTTCTCCATGTGGAAGCAGTTACAGACCAGCAACCTCTAGCTTCATCATGGAAACCAGGAAAGAAGTACCTCGTCAAGGACCAAGATAGAGCTCCCATGCAGGGGGATGGCGACTGGCAAGAGATTGGTGTACTTGTTAAAGAGGATAACGGTATCAAGAGGTTCACTGTCGTCATGGACGGCCAGCCTCGGGAGAAATGGAAGATTGACGTCCAAAAGGTGGGTTGGGTTCACTCTGACGAATCTGCCCTGACATCAGTAACCACGATTTCAGAGTACAATACAAAGATGGGATATGCACTGAGATCAAATGCCACCACTCTGAAAATGAACATCCTGAGCTCGTGGAAGAAAAAGGAAGCGACGTCTTCGCTCCCAAATCTTAATATCCAATGGGTGACATCATTCATAGTGTTGCTAATGAATAYCCTGGAAGTGAAACTGAGCGGCCTGCAATGGCTGCACCTTCACTCCAGTGTCCCCACTGCTTCCAGGTGTTCTGAGAGAGGCATGCAGGTTGATCCTCTCTGCGATGTTTGCCCGCARGAGTCCCTAGAAGACACAGCACACCTCTGGTGGGAATGTGTGGTCGCTAGGGGCTTCTGGGAGTGGCCAAGCAGGATGTGGTACTTCGCATACGGCCCGGGGACAATATGGACTAAAGAGTTCATTTTGATGGGGAACCCTGCAAAAGATGCCAAGATGGTAATAGCCCACAAGTTCAGAGTTACAGGTGTCTGGATACTGTGGCTGGCCAGGAGAGAGAGACGATTCAATCGGGTGCAATGGTGCCAATCAACAGTCAATAACAAGTTCAAATTCGCAATAAGGAACCTCATTGCAGCCGAATGGAGGAAAGCCAAGCTCTCTGAAGTCCTCTATCAGAAGSCCAAAATTAGAATGGAAACAGATTGGGGTAAACCATTTAAATGGATTACTKTTTCAGAGAATAGCAGATTAGTAAYTTCCAAGCATCTGTGGGACGAGGCCACGGATCTCATCATATAGACAAGATCCAGATGAATGGGACTCTGGATCTGTAAACTTTTCCTGCTGGTGCATTTTACTTAGATTTAAATTGAAAAGGGAGCTGGCCCCATTTTGAGGGGCAACTCCACAGTAAGAGGAAAACTGTAAACGTTGTAGCTAGTTTTAGGGGACGCTGGACCCGGTTTCCAGCAGAACCGTATCTAGTACTTTTAATTTTCGTTTGTCCAGTTGCATCCTTTGTTTTCCCTAGCTTGCGATTTTGGGACGCTGGACCCGGTTTCCAGCATACGCCTATACTGGGTAAAGGCCCCAGAGTTCCTCCGGGTTGAGATGTCTGAGGGTTTCCCGGCCTCTTTTCACTTGTTGAGCAAAAAAAAAAAAAAAAAGAAAAAAAAAAAAGAAAAACAAAAAAGAAAAAAAAAAAATGCTGGTTCAGCCATCCGCCATCGCTCGTGGGGGACACACAGTCTGGAGACCGACAAGATGTCCTGACTGTCAGTCGTCAAACAGGTCAGAAGGTCAGGTGATTGTCCGCCTGCTCGGATAGCGCACACAACGACGAAACCGCGAACCGGCACGCATAAATCGAGAAATGGTCCAAAAAAAAAAAAAAAAACAAACAAACCGGGGAAGAAACGAAAGATGGAGGGGCCAATACTCACACGAGGACTTCACAACTTCACTCTGTGGACGTACGGACGGTTGGATGCATTCAGACACGGTCGGAAAGCGTCTATATACATCCACACACAGTCCGTGGGTCCCACCTTGTGCTTACTTTTTCTTTTCCTGTTGAACTCGCTGGCCACTTAGCTTACTCACCGGAGTCCGCGGAGGATTCGAACACCGGTTTGGTCATCAACTTGCCATTCAGCAAATGGGCTTGGCGGATCCCACATATTCTCATTGTCGCTAATCACACTCTAGGATTTTCTTGACTGAATAAGGCCACGGATTTCGTCGGATACATTCACCAATCACCGATCGAGAATGGAAAAAGCGAAGACCACAGGTGCATGCTTCGGCCAGCCTTCGGAGTTATTCCACTTTTGCTTACGAGGCCATTTGTCAATTGTCGATTTGTGCGTGTCACTCTTGTTTTTTTTTCCTTTTTTTTCCGTTCAAAATGCGTGGCATTCTCGAATGAGTGGGAGAATGGGCCTCGCTCCGCTACTCTCCTCATTCATGTGCAGAACGAGAGTGAATCGCCCGCTAGAACACGGAAAAATACACCGAGAGTGAATCGTCCGCTAGAAAAATGTTAGGACTGTATGGGCTCTCCACACCGCTCTCGAAATGTGGAAAAAGACAAAATTGTGGAGAGTGCATCTGGCCACGTTCTGGCAGGAAGTTCATTCTCATTTTGCACATTTCGCGAGTGGTGTGGCGATGCCCTCTGTATGGGCCTGGCTGCACTTCTCTCGAAATGGGCAAAACGAGAGCGAATCTTCCTCTAGAATATGGAAAGATACAACGCCATAATTTTTGTCTTTTGTGCATGTCGAGAGTAGTGCAGCGAGGCCCTATGTTGTATATAATGTATAGGGCCTCGCTGCACTACTCTCGAAATGTGCAAAACGAGAGTGAATTTTCTGGTAGAATATGGGAAGATGCACCGCCATGATTTCTGTCCTTTGTTCATGTCGAGAGTAGTGCAGCGAGGCCCATCCCATAATTCCCGACAGATGTCTTGGCGAGGCACCTCGGCCGTCGTGGCTGCCGCCGAGAGGAGTCAGTGGGCCTCGCCGGACCACTCACCAAATGCGCCAAATGAGAACGAATCATCCGAAAGAACACGGAAAGATTCGTCGCCATAGTTTTTGTCGTTTCTGCAATTGGTGCGTGGTGTGGCCAAGTCCTGACTGTTGCCCATTGGGCTTGAGAGAGAGAGAGAAACGAGTCCAGGAACAACTGTCGCTGGGCGGGAGAGCGATGGGAATGGAGGTGTTGTGGCGGGGGAGCATACGGCGGTACGGTAACAGGAATGGGCGGGAGAGTGGTAGGGTCGCTGTCGCTGACAGTCGGTCGAATGTGCGTGGATGGGTGCGACAACGCGCGCCGCACAGACCTTGCCGCAAATCCCCGTGGGACGCGGCGCTTGTCGCGCCCTGAGATTGCGCGCGACATCCACTACCGTCCTGCAGCTGTGTCTTGGGAAGGTCCACTACCGCGGGGAGAGGGCGTTTGGCGGGGCAAGAGAGATTTCGATGAGCCTACAGCGGCGGGAGGGAGCCGTGAAAACATCGAAATCAGTGCGCGGGAGCAGCGTGGAGAGTGGGGGCAAGGGAGAGACAGACGTGTCTCCCACGTGCTCCGGGTTCACCGAAGGACAGACGCAGAAGTCTTGACGGCGAGTGTTCGGCGTGCTCGTTCACCTACGATAGCCATAGCCACCTGCAAAGCAAGGGAAGCGACGGAGAGAGAGAGAGAGAGAGAGAGAGAGAGAGAGAAGAGTTCAGGCTCTCGCTGGGAGAGCAGAGAGGGAGAGAGCAGGCGGCCATCGTCTCCGCGGCGGAGCGGGGGTGGCTGGTCGGACAGTGCACGAGAGCTGCGTTCGGGCATCTTCGGTAGCTGCCACGATGGGGATCTGGGAGGCACTTCTCAACTGGTTACGCAGGTATGCAATCCTCTACCAGCTGTGTTCTGTTGATGGTCTCTCACGTCACCTCCTTCTTCGCTTTCTCTCTCTCTCTTTCTCCCCCTGTCCGCCTCCTACTCCCTCCCGCCCTTCGTGTGTATGTGTGCGTCTCTCTCTCTCTCTCTCTCTCTCTCTCTCTCTCNTCTCTCTCTCTCTCTCTCTCTCTCTCTCTCTCTCTTGCGCGCTGTGTTCCATCTGTCCCATTTTTTGTCTTCTCTCTGACTGTCTCGTCCCCGCTCCCCTGGCGCGCTCTTTTTGTGTTCTCTCGCCATCTCTTCCCCGCTCTCCTGGCGCGCTCACCCCTCTGCAGTTGTGAGGTCCTTGTCTTGGAGGCAAGTTACTATTATCTTCCTCGCCGTATTTGGGCGCGAGGTAAATTACTCCTGTCCTTCTCACCGTATTTGGGCGCGCAAATGCGGGGTGCTGATACGAATCCGCGCCCATCTCTTCCCCGCTCCCCTGGCGTGCTCACCCCTCTGCAGTTGTGAGGTCCTTGTCTCGAAGGCAAATTACAATTGTCGTCCTCGCCGTAGTTGAGCGCGAGGGAAATTACTCTAGTCCTTCTCGCCGTATTTGGGCGCGCAAATGCGGGGTGCTGATAAAGTAGGAATCCGCGCCCAAATACGGGGGGTAGGGAAAGGGTGTGGATGGCGGGGCGGGAGGTTCCTGTATTTGATCGACCACTCTTTCGGTTTCCCGTCTCCTTTCGCGTGAAGCGTGAGAGCGCGCTGTTGATTTTGGCGTCGAACGCTGTCAATGGAGGTATTGTTTTTAGTAAAGGCATGTCAATGGAGGAGGTATTTTCGACTGAAGCCACGTGTCGATGGAGCAGTTTTTTTTTTTTTTTTGAAGCCACGTGTCGATGGAAGAGGTGTTTTCGATTGAATCGGGTCTCTCGATCCCGTCGCTCCTCTACGCCTTTACATACAGTGAAACTGAACCGCCTCCCTGGAAGCGCAGCAATCTGATAGCTCGATTTCATTTTTATAACGTTGTAATGTCAGATTCGGACTGTCCATCAGCGATTTAACAGAATTGTGTGCTATGCTATTTATAGTCGTAGTACTGGTCGAGGCTAGCGATGTGTAAGTTTCGCTGTAATTCTTCTCGTTTGCGAACGAGCTGAGGGTGCTCCTGGAGTCGAGTGCTTATGCATCCCGCAATCGCTCGCAGTACAGGGAAACTTATAACTCTCTCTCTCTCTCTCTCTCTCTCTCTCTCTCTCTCTCTCTCTCTCTCTCTCTCTCTCTCTCTCTCTCTCT